TTATTTATATTTTGTCATCTTTCTTTGACAAAAGTCTCACTTGTTTATTTATTTTTATCAAGTTGTTGTCCTTCACAATGATATTACTGTGGTTTTTGGACTTTTTTTTTATAATCTATATGTTGGATTGCATTGAATTTTTTTCAGCATATAGAAGACTTATAGTAGCATTTTTGTGAAATTTTTGCACCAAATAGATGATTAGATTAATAGTTATAACTTGCCAAAGTTCAATAACCAAGATTAGGGCTTGCAAAGATAAATCAAAATTACCTAATTATAAAAGTAATAAGGTAATTGGAATTTATGCATGATTGAAGTTACGTAGAAGAGTGTTTTTGAGTACTTTGTACTTGCTTTAAGTACTTTTGAATGGAAATTCGAATTGCATTCTTCTTATATGATTGAAACCTATTAAGGTTTCTTGAATATTTCTAAAACACAACTTCACCTTCTACAGCCAGGTGCTTGGTGCATTTCTAAAGAAGACAACACATATTATGGCAACAAAACCTACTCCTTTGCATTGTGATAATTTCAACACTATCAAACTTATTAGATATTATATGCTAAGACTAAACATATCAAAATCCAACATCATTTCAGCATCAAAGAAAATTTTCATAGTATACATTTCAACAAAAGAACAAGAAATTGATATTCTTACTAAACTATTAGGATAAACCAAATACTTATAGACAATCAAAAAAAATTAATTCGAAACAGTATATAGAATATAGTTTGCAATCAACCACAACCTACAATTCACCAGTTGAAGTGATTATATTGCCACCAACTTTATAAGGGCTATATTAATCATATTCTATGTCGATATCTATATATTCTAAAATGCTTAAAAGATTTTTATTAATCATGCATTTGAAAGCCATTAAATTATCATGATAGCAACTTAAAATAGACTTTATTCCTAAATCCTTCAAATTTACATATTAAAGATATCTAATCCTATCAATCTTTGTAAATTCTACTATTATCCATTCTAACAACAAATTAACTTCACAATACCAACTCTCGCGAACCCTACAAAGATGGCAAATGGAAATAATTCACATTCTTGCTTCAACTTCAGCAACATATACTTCATCACTAATGCATTGGGAAGCGTGGGCAAGAAAGTGCCTTTTACTTTGAAGTCCTTGCAATGAAAATCCTCAAGCCCAATGATTATTTCAACAACAGATTTGCAAAATACCAATGCCAAGTGCCGAAGAAGCAACCAAAGCATCCATAAGAGCACACCCACAATTCTAGTGAATAGCAACCTCTTGATGTCTAAGAACAACAACATAACAACTCCAAGGAGAATGCAATCATTATACCAATTTTGATGATGTCAAAGAGAGTGTTGGAGCACATCATCACAAAATCATTCAAAAGAAATCCAACTTAGCAAATTGTGAATATATCCTAGGAATAGAATAAACTTGAGGGTCATCTCTTTTATTTAAAAACACCAAATGAGTAAAGAATAATGTGGCAGCAACTCTGAGTAGCAATGTAGTATGTGAATGAGTACGTTTATGAATGTTAATCAATACAAGCATTCTGCTTTATTCTACATCTTGTGGCAAATATGATGAAGTCTGTTGATGCAACGCAAGCTTTAGTAGAAGAACATGAATTGACATTTTAGTGGACATTTACATGTATGTGTTCCATGTCTTATTACGGTAGGAAAAAACACACCTGGATTTTGCAAATAGTAAATTATTGTTTCTGGAATTTTTGAATCAATGCAGTTTAATATAAGGTTCATTTTTGACAATGTATGAGTTGCTGGACAATGTAAGGACTTTCAAACAGTCAATGGAATCAATGAGATTTAAACATGAAACTTTTGATGATTTGATTGAATAGTATAATTGGTGCTTTTTTGAAGATTAATCAATCAATCAATCAATCACTCACTCACTCTAGGGTCAAGGAATGCCATGCTATGACCTGCCCTGTTCTTTGTCCACCTTGTTGGCCTTATCTTGGAAAGTGTGACATAGCCCATTAACTACATCCCATGCACACACACACAATCAAATTTTAAAATTAAATAAAAGATGTGACATCATCTTTATTATCATTACTAGCATCAACATCATCATAGTTTTGAACCTTTTTCCAGTGCAATTCTCCACATTTCACTTCCTTTCATCCTTTTTTGCTCCACTTTGTTTATTTAACTTGACTGTTTTATTATTATTATTTGGTAATTGTGTGGCATTGGAAAAAAAAGAAGTAGAGGGAGGTGCAGCATTTTCTTTAACTTTCTCTTTTAAAAAAAGTTGGTTATGGGAGTGATGATCTCTGACACCCATGCAAAGGTGAAAAGAGCAAAAGCTGGGTTGGGCATCCTCCCTTTTGTAGTATAAAACTGAATGATTCCACCAAACAACACAAAGAATTTTAGAAAGTATTGTCCATGGAACCAAACTCATTCTTTGCCATGATAAATGGATGAATTAATTTATTCAAAGTATGATGTTGGGATTTCATATTCTCACCATAAAATAGGATGTGGCAACATACTTTCATCCAATCCAAGGTGAACATTGAGTTAGCCTTTACACAATGCAAATATGTGGTGAAAAAAACATATATTATTATCATATAAAATGTGGTTAAAAATCATTAAGTATATTTTATATAGTAATAAAAATAATTGTAATAATAATAATAATAATAATAATAACATCTTCAATTATCTTGTCCTTTTCTTTTGTAAGTCTATATATATAAAGATACATGTTTGTCACATTTCTCTGTTATACCAGTATCTCCAAAAAAAGAGTCAAAATTTAAAAATCCTATAATTATAAAAAGATTATGGAGATTCTTTGTATTGTTCCTGACATATGCAATACACAAGTAAATATATGAGTAAAACAAATTGAAATAGTATCAGTGTTGAAATGTATGCAATGCTTATCCAAGGTCACATTTGCTATTTGGAAATGAGCAGGTAAATTGGCTGGCTTCCATTTCCATATCTTCCCTTTTTAATGTAAATCTCATCATATGAAGTTAGACGAAGTCTAACCATGGCTCCATGATATCCAAGGCAAGTGGCCATCAGGAGAGGTTGGACTTGGTCCCACTGGGCAGCAGACCCATTTTGTCCTGTGACTGGACACTGATTTTTTACAGTTGTGGGCATGCATACATGTTGACAAGGTTTTGTGGGGTCCTGTCAGTCTCCTCCATGTTGGCAGTGACTCTTGTAAGAGGCCCATTCATGGTAACCAAATTCTAAAGTTGAGTTTTCTTCCTGAGTAGGATTCTTTTTAGGTTAATATTAAAACTTGTAAGTTCTTGTATTTGAGGAAAAGTTCATAGTTAAAATGTAGTAGCACATGTGAAAATTACCCACCATCTACATGTTCAAGTGAGACATTTCTTTAGAAGAATCATGCAACATGTTGAATGATTTCTTTTGCTAGATAGGGGGCGGCAAAGTAAGTAGATAGGCTGAAGAACTATTCCTATATAGTGCCAGAAATGTGTTACAGTCTTCACATATCAATTCTTTAGAGGATAGGTTGGAGAATCATTCTTCAGATGGAGCTACAAATGTGCTGGAAGCCTCCATGTGTCAAATTTCTTCAGGATCCAACTTTTCTGTAAAGCAAAATGAAGTTGAATCCAGCTGTTTCTGAGGGAGCTGCACTCTACTCCGAGCCACATCAAGGAGCCTATGCATTCCACAACACCAATGACCAATTGGAAAGCAGTCGCCGAAATTTCTATCTTCTAGTGCCACTGAAATGTCCCATACTCATTGCAATGCCACCAGAACAGAATTAGAAAGTGCAGTCTCTTCACCATTTTCTTACTCTAACACCCAAAAATGTGAGGAAAGAAAAATAAGGAGATGCTGTAGGACAAAACCATACTAATATTATGATGTCGTGGGGGTTGAGTTGAATCCACTATGAATATGCAGGTCCAACACCCTGTGAGCAGAAGAGGTGACTAACAATCCTAATGGCGTGCGTTATGCATCTGATCTAACACCCAAATAGAGCCTCCGGCGACAGCTTGCTGCCACTGGGGTTGCGGAGGTTCAGTCACTGCAGGACCCAATTCGGTCGTTCAAAGCCACAAATATGCATGCAGTTTATGCAATTAGTTGATCATTGTTCCTGCTGTTAAATCAGCTCTTTCTTTCTGCCCTAGAATCACGCAATGGCTGCTCGCTTTCAGCTCCAGCCAGGAGCTGTTGTGGGTCTGGTGAGGTTGCTATTACTGAAGCACACATGCCAAGCAAGTTGTGTAATATCAGAAAATTAGAGACTGATTGACCTACTTCATCACTCGCTTACCAGAACGCCCTCTCACAACGATGCGACCCACTAACTATCGTTCGCGGCGCCCCTCGCTGTGCACAAACGATGCACCTTTTCACTAGTTTTATTCCTTTTGAAATGCAGACTCACATCAGAAGAATCTGGATACGACTAGAATTAGTCGTTAGAAACTGCAGCCTGCTAACTTGGTTGGATTATTTAAGTGAAGAGAATGCACAACGCGTTGTTGTCAACTAGGCGTGAAGTTACGAAGCAAACGGGATGTGCAGCTTCGCTTTGCAGGTAGGGCTTGTTACAATTCGCAGTAGCTAACTTTCGTGGAGATCCAGAGAAAGAAAGTATAGTCCGGAAAGGTGACAGCTTCCAGTGTCGTTCTGCCTGCATCCGCTAGATTCTATGCACTATCGATTTTGGTCCGTGGCGGGTGCGGTGTTAATTCAGGGAGCGAATCTTCGAGGCTGGCTGGTGCGTCTCGTCGCACTCAACCCAGTCGTCGCTTGATCTGCTACTTTCGCAGTACGTGGGTCAACCAGTCACGTCGTGGCTCGTGACGGCGAAGAGCTCACGGGCTGGTCTGAAACCACCTGCCGCCGCAATTCGGCCTGTCACAATCTGCGGCGCGGTGCAATGGTGAAAATCGGCCGTGGGGCGAAGTGGTCGTCGTAATCAGTCTCTGTAGTTGTTGCATTGGTTCGTTGAGACCGAGGTCGTGCTCTGATGTTGAGAGCATGATTATGATGGGTGCGAAAGAAGGCGTGAAGAAGAGAATGAGTTGCTGGTACGGTCCCATTCGCTGTGGGACCGTTTACTGGGTGTGGGGGCCAGTAGAGCTTGGGGGTGATATCATCGTGATGAGTGGGTCACTGCTACAGGAATTGGTCGGTTTTGCGTCCCAGGGCTGCTCACTTTATGGGGAATAATCAACGTTATGTTTGTGTGCTCGCTTTAAGGAAGGCGTGGCGAAGCAAGGCAAAGCTAAAATAGGCGTTGCGAATGTGTCTTCTGCCGCCCTGCGGTTTGAAGGTCTGCTCTCGAGATTATGGATTGTTTTGGGGGATCGAATCTAGGTCCTCTATACTGAATCGAGCGACTTTATAACCCCACCGCCGGCAGGCGTTGAGCCACTTCTGAGCGATACCAATGCCGGCCAGCTTGACATTAAGTTTGGATCAACTTTGTAGCAGCTCGTACATTGGAATTTCTCGAGGGCGGACGCACTGCGGCAGCTAGTGAATACTGCATTTGAGAAGTTGATAGACGCTGGATATTAGACTCACTTAGCGATTTTGATTGTGTGGGCAATTCAAAGCCTGTACTTTGGAGTGGACATAGCAGTGTGATTCTCAGGAATCGATATTGAAAGCGTAACTAGAGAGGCTGGATGCCTTGCTAAAAGTATGCAATGCAGGGGGAGGTGGGTGGTGACTGTGTAGAAGCTAGTCACACCAAATCGAGCATGGAGATGAAATCCATTGTAGAGTGTAGGCGTTCTATTTTCGGCTTGCCGCGAAGCGATCAAGTTGCTAATTTCTTAAATCGTGCAATTGTTTCGACCATCCTTTACGTCGTTATGTTACGTTTTCTGACTACACCGGCCATGGCAGCCACTTATGCACCTGGTACGTTAACTTATTCATACCTGCAATCTGCTTGCTACATAATTTTCATCTCCTTATTTCTATTCCAATCACGCCTCTCTCTCCCTCTCTTCCCTTGCCACAGATTTTATCTGTAAACATGGATTCTTAAATTCAATGCTCAGCTGAGGTATTCACTTGATTAGAGAAGATGCATGATTAACAATCATCTCCCTGTCGAATGACATAGTATTTAGCTTCTTTCGTACAGAATCGTTAAATTGTAAGATAGTCGTACACAGCTTGAGCTCTCTTTGTCTCGGTGTCGGACCAGGAGTGAAAGCCAAGAATTCTAGTGCGGATGCGGGTTGATGCTTTCAGTAGATGGTCTAGCTTTGTAAGTTTTCGACCAAACGATCGATTAATTGTAAGAATTCCTTCATGTAATGATCCAATTCCAGGTTTAACTTGAAAAGAACCAAATCCGAGTAACTAGATTCAAAAATTGAATTCAAACATATGAGTTTTACATGAGTAACTTGACCTGATTCACTTGTCTTGCGTGGCAACTCATGTGATAAAAATGGTGACAGAAGTCGGGTACAAGACAATAGGTGCTCATAATGTGGTGGCCTGATAGAAAAAAAATTGATTCCTCAATTTTTTGTAATATTGGATTGTACAATCAATCGTAGAATACCGTTCTAGTTGCTTATCCTAGTCTGGATGTTTCCGCATCGGTCCCGGACCTCAATGTAATGGAAAGCGGATCTAACGTGCAGCTTAAACCGGGAAATACATAGTGGAGCAGCGTGCATAGTTAGTTCTCAACTGATGTTCAATCATAGACGGTTCTTGTAGCAATCAATTCTGCCTCTGACACGACAATTTGTAGTGAAAACCAGAACGAGAGAGTGGTCGTCATAACAACTAATGTATACCTCAGAAGGATACTATTCCATTGCTGTTGATCATGAAGGTCATGATCAACCAAAACAGCAATTAGTTGGTTGGAATTAGCAGATGGAGAGCACCTCTTTCAAGGATCAGAGAGGCGGCTTACTTTTCAGTCACCTGCGTAGCATTAGGTGCTTTGATGCTTTATCTGGATCGAAAGGTGTAGAGAATTCTCTACTTCGACGATTAATCTTTTTACAAATTTCACTCTGGAAGGCAAGTCTGCACTTGTCAATCAGGTGAATGAAGGACATGTTTGAGCTTTCGTAGGCCAGAACTGTTAAAGCATGGTCAAGAGCCGACAAGGCATAGCCATGTTTTTGAAAATTTTGAAGCTAATAATTGTTGTAGAGTGAGGTTCAGTACGTGTACGACATCGTAGCAGAAATGCATGCAGTTTCAATCCGGAATAAGAGACCATTTTCTCACGAAAAACCAAGTGACTATTATAACTCATGCCGGAGAGTTGTCAGAGTTTTTTTTTTGGTCTGCATGGCTCACTAGGTCATCCACGAAATACCTACTTGGTAGAAGTAGATTGCGAATTTCTAGTGGGCAGCATATGGCAACAATAATAATTTATCTTGAGGCTCTCTCTCCCTCCCCCTCAATGCTTCGAAACCGTTTCTGGTCATTGCAAGCGAATTCGGACAGGAAACCTCAACTCAACTGCGAAAGAACTGTCAACCGAAATTTCTGCGACACACCTCTAACTTATGAAAGAGACTGCGAGTCTCTGTGAAGAATTCATGCTGCCGTAATGTCTGCTCCGTTATTTTGAATTAACGTGTACGTGGTGAATTCATTCCGCAGAGGCACGCACCATGGGAATAAATTATGGACGACTTGCGGATAATATACCTAGTCATGCCGAATCTGTGAAGTTGATTAAGAACTTAGGAATGGGAAGAGTGAGGATTTTTGATTCCGATGGACCAACAATCGAAGCATTTGCTGGCTCCGGCCTGGAACTAACAATTGGGATGAGCAACTTGGACATCACCGCCCTTGGCCAGGACGCAAACACGGCCGACCAATGGATCGCCAACAACGTCGTCCCATACTACCCCGCCACCAACATCACGTGCATCACAGTCGGCAACGAGCTCTTCACTTACCCGGAGCAAGCCGTCATCTGGCCTCAGCTCGTGCCAGCCATCAAAAACCTCTACACTAGCCTCCAGACTCGTGGGCTCACACGGATTAAGGTCTCTACGGCCGTCGAGTACAGCATCCTGGCAAACTCCTTCCCACCGTCCGCAGGAGTGTTTCGGGAAGAACTCGCAGTGGCTGTCATGAAGCCCTTGCTGCAGCAGCTGGACACCACTAGCAGCTACCTCTACCTCAACGTCTACCCCTACTTCGGATGGTCCGGCAACACGGCCGACATCCCACTCGACTACGCATTGTTCACCCGCGACTCGACCTTCACCGTGGACGGTCAGTACGAGTACAAGAACCTCCTGGACGCGCAGCTGGACGCCATGGTAGCAGCAATGGAGGCTGTGGGCTATGGCGACGTGCGCATCGTGGTGAGCGAGACCGGGTGGCCGACTCTGGGCGACGCGAACACGCTAGGCGCTAACATCTCAAATGCGCAGACATACAACAACAATCTAGTAAAGTGGGCAATCACAAACCCAACAAAGGGAACTCCGAAGAGACCAGGGATCTTCGTCCCGACGTTCATCTTCGCCGTGTACAACGAGAAAGACAAGCCCGGGCCGACAACGGAGCGCAACTGGGGGCTGCTATACCCAAGCGGCAAGCCTGTTTACCCGCTGGAGGTGTCGGGCAGCAGTGGCGGCGGGTCGTCATCTGGCGGTGGAGGCTACGACTCGCCGCTCAAGACGTGCAACGGCAGGCCTAGCGTGCTCTCCCTAACGGCGTCCTTCTTCGGCATTCTGTTCAACCTCAGAATCTAACACCACTCCCACATTCCCCACGCCTCCACCGACTGAACTCACTGCAGTCTGTAGAGTATGCATCGCATCACATGGCATGGCATCGCACCGTGATTGCGATAGCGACGTTCCGAGACCATAGCAGAGCATAGCTCCCATTCCTTGACGAAGCAATAACGGAAGCTGAGGGCATGCACCGCTGTTGTGATCGGATTCCATGCGCCCCGTTTCCTATGTAACCTCACTCACACATATACACGATTTTGTTTTCATTGTTAGTGGTATTATCGTGATTATGGTTGTCCGCTCCATGACTTTCAAGTTTGTGTGGATCTAAAGTTGATTCTTCAACTTCTTCTTCTTCATGGCATTGCCCCACATTCCTGTGCACACATAGTTGCTTTCCGTTCTGTGCATCAAAACCTGGTTTTGGTATTGTTCCTCCCTGCCCCTTCCTGATGCCTTGCAGTGCCGTCATGGGGTCCCTTACTTGCAGTGGTTTGGTTTGAGCTTCTTGTGCAAAGGTTTTTGCTTGCATTTAAGTCGATTGGATGTTTGTGTGTTTTATTTTTATTTTTTTGAGAAGATTTTGAGTGATACGTAGGCATGATGTAGTCAAAGATGTGAGAGAAGAAAGAAGATATAAAAGTTGTATACTTAGGATATCTTATAAAAATAGAATCTCCTAAAATACTACAACCTATTTTACTAATCATGATATGGAAATCTATACTCCTTGTAGATCTAAAATTATGAAGCCTCATTTTATTGAAGCTAGAACTTTTATGAGAGAAAAGGAAAAATAAATATATATACATATATATATATATAATTATATGTGCAACTTCAATAATTGAAGCACAAACTATTCTAATAATCCTATTAAAGGAATACAAAGAATTCCAAAATGTATTTGAGAAGAAGAACAATGTGATCTTACTAGAATATTGTCCATATGATTGTACTATTGACCTTGAAGACAACAAACAACCATCTTTTGGTCCAATTTATAACTTGTTACAAAATGAGCTTATGACATTGAGAGAGTATATTAATGAGAATTTAGCAAAGAACTTTATTCAACATTCTAAATCCTATGTTGATATATCTATATTCTTTGCAAAGAAAAAAAATGGATTTTTATAAGTGTCTATTTACAATTGCAATCTCAACAAAGTGATAATAAAAATTATTATTCTTTAGTATTAATATCAAGGATTCTTAACCAATCAAATTAAACTAAGATCTACACCAAAGTAGATCTAATACACATCAAAAAAGGAGACAAATGGAAGACTACTTTTTGAAGAAGATATGGAATCTTCAAATATAATGTCATGCCTTTTGGCCTTATAAATGTGCCATCTATTTTCCTACATTTGATAAACAATATATTTCAAGACTTTTTAATGACTTTGTTATATGTTATTTTGGTAACATTCTAATTTATTCTAATATTCTAAAAGAGCATGAACAACATGTTTGCCTTGTCCAACAAAAATTATAAGATACTAGATTATTTGGCAAATTGAAGAAATGCATATTTTATGACCTCCAAGTAGAATTCTTTAGCTATATCCTATCAATTGTAAGCTCAATTGTAGATTAAAAAAAAACCAAAATTATTAAAAATTTAAAAATCTAAAATTAGTATATAATATCTAGTATTATTTTATATTTTTAAACTTCTATAGGATCTTCATCACCAATTATTCTTAGATAGCTGCTAAATTTATATGATTGACATATAAGAATAAGTTCAAATAGGTATAAAAACCTAAGAAAGTCTTTGAATGCTTGAATAAAGTATTTATTATAGTATTTTATTTATTTATTTATCTAACAATATTTATCAACAAATTTTTCAACATTATTTATCAACCCAAAAAGTAATAAAAATTGTGAGATGCTTTATCATGACAAGCATATCTTGTGCCAAAAAAAAGAAAGGTAGTGTATATTTAGCAAATAATAACATTCTTAAAATCTAAGAAATTTTATATTCAAAAAATTGAAATATCAATTTAAATAGATTTTTTAATTCTTGATTAAGTTTTTATAATTTTAAATATAAAATCTTGTTTTTTTATGTTAAATAATATTTTCAAGAAGCTTTAGAATGATTTAAGTAAATTTGAGTTTAAAGATAGTCTCTTTTACTTTAAAAAAATGTCTATATATCCTAAAAGGACTATTACACCCTTTTGTTTTCTAAATGTGCCATGCCTTTCAAGTAAGGAGATCTTTTGGATTCAATAAGATATTAAAATTTATTTTTAGAGATTTTTGGTGGCCTCAAATGCAAAAAATATTAAAAATAATTCTTTTCTTTCAATACATGTTTTAGATCAAAGAATTCTTGACATTATTTATTTATTTTGAATCAACTTTGAATTAATATATTTGATCAAGTTACAAAGATGTGACATTTTTTTCTTTACAAATAGGCTATTATTTATGAGAAAACAACCAAAAATATTATTTATACTCTCTATGAATATAACAATTTGCTACATAATATTATATTAGATTAAAGATGATAATTTGTGTTCAACTTTTAGAAGTCATTTTTTTAATTTTTTTGTATAGAAATTAAGATTTTTTCAATGTTTTATCTATAAATTAATGGCCAAATCAAGAAAGTCAACAACATCTTAAAAATAATATTTAAGATATATCATTAAGTATTGATTAGAAAATTAAATATCTTACTTGTCTCTTGTAGAATTTTCTTGCAACAACACAATTTAGGCATTTATCCAATAAATTCTAATCATGATCACTATCCAAAATTAAATATATTATCTATTAGTAGATCCAAAAATCTAGCAACATATGACTTTACAAGCTAAATAGCTAATCTTCAAGCTATTTTGAAGTTTCAATTAGAAGTAGCCAAAGTAAAGTCATAGACATATTTATAGTTATCTATATAATATGAATTGGTAGAAGTAGATAAAGTAGGTTAATTTGATAATATCTTATAGAGAAGCTTCTTAGAAGCTATATGGACATGATTTCACCTTTATACATATTTATAGGTAATTAGTAGGTTAGAAATTTGGCAAACAAATTAGCCATGTGTTACACATATTGTTAGCTTGTAGTACAAGTTGACAATGTGGTGTATATAAAGAAAGCTTGCCTTGTAAATTAAGACATGTCTCTTACAAATTACACACGTATTTGAGGTCCTATAAAATATTGTCATATAGTTCTTAGGTAGATAGTATATATAGAAGTAAGAATAAAGCATTCTTCATCTTTGTCAACTTCTTTTTTGTTTTTAGTTTTGTTTCAAGAGTCTCTAATTTTCAAGTCTTTGACAATAGCTATTTCAATTTCTTATCAAAAATATTTACTTTCTTATTTTTAATTTTTCATCTATCTTTGATTTATTTCTCACTTATTTACATATTTTCTTTGAATTTTTATCCTTAATATATTAACAAGAATCTTAACTTATTATTCTTGCTTTATTTTTAGAAGTGAGTGGATTATCCTACTTCTATTGTTGTATTTTAAAGGTTGGAAACTATCTACCTTGAATTAATATTTATTTTTTTAACATTGATTATTTCGTTAAAGAGAGTAGATTATCCATCTTTGTAGAAATTTTCATTTGATATTAGAGGTTGCCAGTTATCTTCTTTGAATTTGACTTGTAGATTCATTAAGTTGTTTGAAATGGAAGAAAAAATTATGGATGCTATACTTGGTAAAAGTGAGAATATATTTGCAACTATTACACATGTTCACAAGCTTGTCAATACACTTAAGGTAGAAATTTCATGCATCTCTAATGCCAATCATGGAAGCACTATTTCTATACTTATAAAAGAAATTCAGAGTCTATGTCAAGAAATTGTGTAGTTGAAGAATGCAAGTAGATGAACATCACAAGCAAATTCACAAATTTTTGCTTCTATAAATACAAGGGAGGCAAGGATTTGTAAGTTCAAGAAGTTTGATGAAATAAGATCAAAATTTTGAAGATTTTTGCAATAAATTAAGCTCTATATAAAATTGTATTCTTTCCAATATCTTGATGGATTTATTCAAGTTGGATTAATAAATGCACTTCTACTTAGAAGTGCTCTTTTGAATTGCACCCTTGATAAAAAAAATATTCATGGCTCTTTTATTATTTGAATTCATTCTAAGAAGTAATTATGGCTACATTTAGAAAAAGTCATCAAAAAAGAATAGCAAAGATCAAACTCTTATATTTACAAAAAGAATCAATCAACGACTATATATGTTGTTGAATTCCAAAACCTTGCTTGTGACATGGATTAGAACAACAAAGTCCTTATCAATTAATTTTAATCTAGATTAAAAAATAACTTCAAAGATTTGTTATTAATAATATTGAAAGCATATTTTTTGGAAAAAATTATTACTCAAGCGATTGCATGGAATAATTGATTATTTGAAAAAATTTAAGAACAAAGATTTAATTGGAGAGGAACAAATCAAGTAATAATAGCAACTCCTAAGTTTTCAAAAACTTATTCATCAAGGCTGAAACCAATGCAAATTAGTACAATACATTTTAAACCTCTCATTGAGCAAAAAAAGACTTAATGTTGATAAGAGAATTTGTGCCTATATTGCAGAAAAACTAATTACATTACTTATCATTGTTCAAAAAAATAATGTAATCACAAAATGAGCAGCATAGTTGCCAAAGAAGACAATCTGTTGAAAAATCAATTTTTTTAGTTATAATACAGAGTATGCAATTAGAATTATATATAATATCAAGTAAAAGTCCTATTCTTTCTTTAAATATTTCATCTTATTTTATAATAGATATATATTTAGAACCTAAAAATCACAAAATCTTTGTCTTATTAGATCAAGAGCCTCAACTTGTTTTATAGACAAAGACTTTGACAAAAAACAAAAAATGTCTATACTCAAAAAGCTAAATCCATACATGTAAACGTCATAGATATTTGTTTGTTGTCTTTTTGAGATATTACCTATGAAAGAGTTCTTTTAGATATAACAATTAAAGATCATAATAGCATTGTAATATTTAATATGATGAAAACTTCTTATAACTCAATTATTTTAGGATTATCATTGCTAAAAAAATTTAATCCTCAAATAGATTGAATCTCTTATAACATTGATTTTTTTTTTTATAGTTTAATCTAATTTTTCTTTAATCAAATTGAAATACATAAGACTAATACATCCAAATCCTTAATAATAGGTGCAAGAACTTTCATACATGCGGTAAAAAAAAGATCATCTTTTGTTATATATG